TTTTCTCCCGGATGTATGTATGAATTTGGTTGTTTTTTTTTTGTATTTTGTTGTTATTATTTTTTGTTGTTTTGTCGTTGTTTTTGTCGTCTTAGGACTCTTGATTTATTTACTGTAATTGTTCTTTATCATCTATATTATTATTGTTTAGTGAATATAATCAATATCGTTAACACAACCACAAATGATAATCAGTATTTCCATCATCATTATCGACATCATTGTAATTCATATATATATATATATATATATATATATATATATATATATATTATATATATATATATATATAATATATATATATTTTTTTTTTTTTTTTTTTTTTTTTTTTTTTTTTTTAATGATAATAATGACAACATCGATAATATTGATGATAATATTGATAATTATACGATAATGATACTATTAGCACGTCACAGTACATCCTGTTGGAACCGCGGACTCGTGTCTGTGCTGAAGGAGATAGTCCATGTTTACGGAAGTCGCAAGCACAGTGGAGGCACGTGCTAGATTCTGGGTAAGCGGCCTGAACTCTCTTCCAAAAGCTGGACAAGTGTGCGTGCGTTTTGGAGGTTTGGAAGGGTGGTTGGGCGGGAGGAGGGCGGAGGGGCGGGAGGGGTTGGGCGGAGGGGGGAGGGGGGAGGGTTGGAGGGGCGGGGAGGGGTTGGAGGGGGGAGGGGGGAGGGGCGGGAGGGGCTGGAGGGGGGGGGGGAGGGGGGAGGGGTTGTCTGTATGTGCGTGTAGAAGGTAATTTGGGGGGGGGGGGGAGTGTATGTGTGGATGTAGGGGTGGGGGGGTGACTGTGTTTGTCTTGTGTGTATGTAGGGGGTTGTTGTGGGTTTGTGTGTGTGTGTGTGTGTGTGTGTGTGTGGTGTGTGTGTGGGTGTGTGTTTGTGTGTGTGTGTGTGTGTGTGTGTGTGTGTGTGTGTGTGTGTGTGTGTGTGTGTGTGTGTGTGTGTGTGTGTGTGTGTGTGTGTGTTGTGTCTTTTGTCTGTGTATGTGTGTGTCTTTTGTATGTGTATGTATGGGGAGGGGGGGGGGGAGTTGCATGTGTGTATGTTACTCTTGTATACTTGGAAGGAGGAGAAATAGTGTATGTACGTATTTATGAATGTATGCAAAGGGATTGGCTTTGCGACAGGTGAGTGTCTATGTGCGTGTGTGCGTATTTATGTGCGTATTTTTGTGCGTTTATTGGGGTGGAAGGATCTGAATTTGTGTTCGTGCATTTTTGAATATTTACGCGAGGAGTAAGCGTGTTTGTGTGTACGTCTTAGTCACCGTGTGCGTAGATAGGCGAATGTTTGTGTGTGTATCCGTGTGTTTGTGCTTGGCTCTAGGTCATCCCGCGCAGGAAGCCCAGCAATCTATCTTTTGCTTTTTGTTTACGCAAGAGATAAATGAAATAGAGGTTATTATTGGTTGCTTGCCAAATGAACACGTCAGTCACTCTGTTAAGCTTTCAGGCCATATGTAAACATTTAAGTTATAGCGTGTGCTCCGCGAGGCTTCTTTGCTTCTGGTTTATGAATTTAGTTTTACATTGTTAGTTGCTTGTTATTATTTATTCTATTATTGGTTATTATTATTATTGTTATGTTTGTTGTTGTTGTTTGTTGTTGTTTGTTCTTATCTTATTATTATTATTTATTATATTATTATTATATCATATATTATATTATTATTATTATTATTATTATTATTATTATTATTATTTATATTATTATTATTATTATTATTATTATTATTATCATTATTATTATTAATTATTATTATTGTTATTATATTATTATTATCATTATTATTATTATTATTATTATTATTATTATTATTATTATTATTATCATTATTATTATTATCATTATTATTTTTTTTATTATTATTATTATTATTATTATTATTATTATTATTATTATTATTATTATTATTATTATTATTATTATTATTATTATTATTTATTATTTATTATTATTATTATTATCATTATTGTTATTATCATCATTATTATTATTATTATTATTATTATTATTATTATTATTATTATTATTATTATATTATTATATTCTATTATTATTATTAGTAGTAGTAGTAGTAGTAGTAGAATCATTATTATCATTATTGTATTATCATTATTATTATTATGATTGTTTTTATTATTGTTGTTGTTTTTTATTATTATTGTTATTGCTATCATTATCATCATCGTCGTCGTCATCATCATCATCCAAATCACCATTACTAAGGTTGAAAGGACAGTATATATATGCATATGTATTTTTCTTCTTTTCATTTTTTCCTTTCTTTTCTATTTTTCCTTTTTCTTTTCT